TATATATATATATATATATCTATAAGTATATTAAAAGAATAAGCATTTTAGATGTTTGACGCCAATTTTATGTAAAATACCCGTCAATCTCATAAAAAGTGTCCTAAAAAATAGATATTGTTGGACATTTATGAATATGGAAATAAATCGGTTGATTTATTGGATAAGTACATAGAAGAAATCTTATCCCATCTTTAATCTTTTCACACTTAACAAATTTGAATCTGTTCACACTTAATTCCATATGAAGAATCCTAGATCGTATAAATTTTAAAAATCTCATCTCTTATCTATTTATTCTAACATATTTTTTTTTCTAAAAAACTATCGTAACAGAATTTCTTTTTTCTTAAAACAAGCTAATTGTCCACACTTAATTCCATATGAAGAATCCTAGATCGTATAAATTTTAAAAATCTCATCTCTTATCTATTTACTAGTGTTAAGCCAGTGCGATGGGAGAATATGGTTCAATAAGAATTATTTTAGTAAGTTAATTATTTAAAAATTCCATTATAAACAGATTGATGGTATGACCGGTCAAAGTGGTATTCACAAACTAATATTTTTAAATCAAGAGCACCGCTTATAGTACAAAATAGAGTTTTTCATTTATTGAAACATAATAAGCCGACGTGTGTGTTACTAATAGTTATTGACTTTTTTTATACTCATCAGAAGCGGATAGGAGATCACAAGTGGTAACTGATGCCACGTGAATTTGAAAGGTAATTGCAGATAAAAAAGAGATAACATATCACATCACATATAGTTCAAAAAAGACAACATATTATAATAAGCTATAAAATATTGAAATAAAAAAATTCAGTACAAGTCAACCTCATTAAGTACGTATGAAATAAATTTTTGTGGGATCGTAGTATAAATCTTATTCAAGATTTATATAATCATATCACAGTAAAGATGGTAATGTGAATATTAATTAATAAATAAATTATAATTTACGTAAAGATGACAATAAAATCTTTGCTAATTTCAAAATATTATTGAAACATATATGTTGAATAAAAATCTTTGCTAATTTAAAAATATAATATATATATATATATATATATATATATATATGTTTCTCTATATAGAATTATCAACAACTATACTAAT